ATGAGTGATAGAAAAGATTGTTTTCATTGTTTAATTGAAACATAGAAAATATCATATAGATCATATAATTTGATTCATGTGACAAAAGGAAATTCTTTTTATAGGCTTTTTGTATTAGCACAAACACGATAACGCGAATATCGCACGAACATCCACGCGCGTTTTCTCGAAGATAGTTCCTTCCTGATTATAGATCATTAGCAACAACCAATCCGCATCTTTCGGTCGGAAATGACGTAACGAAAGTGAACAAAAGGAGAGGGCGCCGCCAGTTCCGCTCCAATGAGAAGTTAAACTCGCGAAACGGGAGTTCCCGATGCGCCCGAGTGAAAGACAAGGGGAACGTCGCTAAACCAAATTCCATAGAAAGTTTTCCGGAGAGCTGTGCAATCTGCAGCGTGTAAAGAACAGCACGGAGAAAAGAGAGGGAGGAGGGGCAATAAAAGGTGCGAGAAGACGAAAGAGAAAGAGAGAGGCAAAAGAGGGGAAAAAAGAACCGCTGAGCAAGAGGCGAGAAGTTTCGGTACGATGAAAGACTGCCTAAAGCTGGAAGTGAAATCAAATGACATCCCACCCGTAGATCTTCCCGCTACCCTGTCTCGTCGTTATACCCTCGTGAGCTGAAAATAGTGCGCGCACCGCGATCTTAAATCTCGCCGTAAACTCGGGGATCGCGATCGCGACACGAAAGGGACGTGACGCGAGATCGCCGGCTGTTGTCGGTCAATTTTTCGACAACGGTCCCTTTCATGGGACCAATACGTCATATGATCTTCAAAAAGATTACTCTGTACGACATAATATAATGGTAGACATTTCAATCGAGCCGAAATTTTGATTCTATGTTAATAGAATGATATTAATAGATATTAATAGATTGATAGGGAATTTCCGGATATAATAACACTGTATAAGCTACACACACAAAAATATATATTGCATTAAAGTAAATATTATTCGTTTTAAATATTTCACAAGTGTAAATATCCGCAAACCTATCGTCAGTTCATCATTAGCGTCGAATTTATTTAAAATACACACCTCTCTCAAGCTAGCAGGACCAAATGAGCAGAATCGAATTGGACCTATCACATTTTTTAGTACTCATTTTGTACTATTTTGTACCACAAAAAAAATTTGTATCATTTAAAAAAAAATGATGGCGCTGCTAACTTGATATTAAGCTAACAGGACCAAAAAAAAATAAAAAAATAAATAAACCATGGTACACACAATTAGTACTAAATTTGTACTAATTTGTACCATTCGAAATAAATCGAAAATTTTATATTTTCCCCTTTAAACAACCTCTCCTTTATCTAAACCTAATATAAAGATAGTAGGATCACGATTTTTTCACTTTTTCTTAATGGTACAAATTAGTACAAATTCAAAAACGATAAAATCTATCATTTCTTGTCGTTTTTTACCAGTTTTTATTTTGTTCTCTTTATATTAAGTTAGCAGGACCACAATATTTTTTTAAATAGTACGGGATACAAAATTATTTTTTATGGTACAATATGAGTAATAAAAAACGCAATAAATATAATTTGATTCTTATCAATTTAATTCTTAATAATCGAAAGAGAAAAATTTTATATTTGAGGTTGATTAAATGTGAGGTTGTTTTAAGGGGTAAATAGAAATATTTACATACTTTTCTCGGTAGTACAAATTAGTACAAATTCAGAAACAATAAAATCTATCGTTTTCTGTCGGTTTTTATCAGTTTTCATTTTGTTCTCTTTATACTAAGTCAGCAGGACCATAATATTTTTTTAAATAAAACGAGATACAAAATCATTTTTGATAATACAAAATACTACACGATTAATGTAATTTTATACCATTAAAAACAATTTTGTAATCCACATCCTTTAAGAGAAATCGTGGTCCTACTGACTTAATATAAAGTCAGCAAAATAAAAATTGTTAAAAAAACAAAACAAATAGATTTTGTCGTTTCAGAATTTATACCAATTTGTACCACCAAAAAAAGTATCAAAAATATTTCTGCCGACCCTTTAAAATAACCTCAACTTTGACCTCAGCTTCAAGAATAAAGCTTTCTGTTTCGATTATTAAGTATTAAATCAGTAAAATCAAATCAAATTTATTGCATTTTTCAGTACTTATTGTGTAGTATTTTGTACCATTAAAAATGATTTTGTACCTTATTTTATTATTAAGAATTAAATTGATAGAATTAAATTATATTTATTGCGTTTTTTATTACTCATTGTGTACTATTTTGTACCATAAAAAATAATTTTGTACTACCCCGTACTATTTAAAAAATATTTAAAAAATATTGTGGTCCTGCTAACTTAATATAAAGAGAACAAAATAAAAACTGGTAAAAAACGACAAGAAATGATAGATTTTATCGTTTTTGAATTTGTACTAATTTGTACCATGAAGAAAAAGTGAAAAAATCATGATCCTGCTATCTTTATATTAGGTTTAGATAAGGGAGGGGTTGTTTAAAGGGGAAAATATAAAATTTTCTATTTATTTCGTATGGTACAAATTAGTACAAATTCAATACTAATTGTGTGTACCATGGTTTATTTTTTTTTTGGTCCTGCTAGCTTGATATCAAGTTAGCACCGCCACCATTTTTTTTTAAACGGCACTTGGTACAAATTTTTTTTTGTGGTACAAAATAGTACAAAATGAGTACTAAAAAATGCGATAGGTCCCATTCGATTCTGCTCATTTGGTCCTGCTAACTTGAGAGAGGTAAAATACACACATTCTGAATTTTAAATTAATTACTAAATTTATTACTACAATCAAAAATATAAAATTAAAGCAAATATTTTGGTTTACTTGCTATATAGAATCAAAGCAAAGTTTTAAACAAGTGTTATGATATTCTTATAAAGAGAATAAATTCTTCTTTTGAGTACATGATAATGAGTTTTTTTTCAAATTTCTTAATTTCCTAATTTGTAATAAGTATATTTTAAGACTGTTATCAAGAAAATATTCTTTGTTGAAGACAACCATTATTTAAAAAAAAAGTCAAACTGAGTAATCGCTTTTCTTAGTAGTAGAATGATATTTTTCTATGTGTATTGTCCTACCTTGATATTACAAATGATTACTTACTATTGTTTTCTGCATGCGGAGTCCTAGTAAAAAAGCTTTATTTCAGACTTTCATTTCAGAACTACTTAACATTCGGTTATCTCAATATTCGACTTGCATTTGTTTTATAATTGCATTTATATCTTTATTCTTATTCCAACCAAGAATATATTAATTATATTTTAGAGTGTATTAATTACTCATCCACAGATAAATATATGAGATTGACAAATATTAAATATTTAATAGTGGTAAATAATGGAATTGTAAGTAAAATATAACGAAGTTAAATCTCATTATTTGGAGTGATGGAATAATATTGTAAATAGAGAACAATATATTTTCTTTATATTCACTATTTTTTCAATTTTTTTATTTTTCCGTTATTTTTACGATTTGTGGAGAGAGATTCAAAAGAGGTGAAAAGGAAGGAGTTGTAAGAACAAAGATAACAAGAGAGTGCCCAATAATGCTGTGTACCATGAAATTTAAATTTGAACTCGGTACAATAACAAAGTTAAACTGAAGTAACAAGAAGGCGTCGGCAGATTCGAGATGGGACGCCTTGCCGCCCAAAGAGCAGTAATAGACGGAAGGAAAACAGCACTCGCAAGATTTGCAGCAGATTCTAAAGTCAGTACTCGTAGTTGTAAATTGTTTACCATCTTTGATTGAAAGCATAATTAATTATGGTTCCGCCTTTATGGGTATTCGCCTCTGCTTGGATCAATATTACTTGTTGTGTGAAGTAAATACAGATATACAGGTTAGCGAATAATCAGACATTCAGCTATAATTGATATCAAACACAAAGCTATAATTACCTGACAAATGATGAATACGGTTCTGAATACCGGCTTAAATTTCAATTCAGGTATTTCCTTAATTTCAGCAGTATCTTGGGCATTAGTCTATTAAAATTTTCATTGACTAAAATAATCGGCAAATTAATAGTCAAAAAGACTAATTTATCGTCATACATAAGATCACAAATAATTATATCAATTAATGCAATTAGTTGTTAATCAAACTTTGATGTAATCGATTGTACATTAATTAATAAATAATTCCATCAATTGATTAAATTATTCGTGATTATATGTATAATATTTGTTTGTAATTTTAATTATTGATTTGCTGATTATTTTAATTGAAAAAATTTCTGTTGTTTAACGCCCAGCACTGATTCTTGATAAGTTGGTTCAATTGAAAGTCATTAAAGTTTCAAACTTTAAAAATCGCAAACAGCGATACATCACATATTTTAGATATGTTTTCAATCCTTTATTGTAAAGAAAATTTCAAACTTTCTTTATAACAAAGGATTGAAAACATATCTAAAATATGTGATGTATCGCTGTTTGCGATACATTTCTGAATCCTTCGTTCTTACTTCCTAGCATCCTCGATTTTAATTGACACTGACACTAATACAAGGTATAAAAAAATGTTAACACTTATATGAAAAATTCACTTCAAAAGAATATTAACATTTGCACATTAGATTTAGTTTCCGGGTTTGAGTCGCGTGGATTCATCTTTGTTTGATTCCGACGTTTCGCGAACATTTCAGTCCTCTTCATCAGGGAGGAACGACCCGATAAAAAATAAAAAAAATCAAAATATTAACATTTATATGGAGATAAGGTTGCTTCCATATACACAAGATGCTTGGAAAAAAAAATATTAACATTTATGTGGAAGATGTTTACCTCAGAACCTTCACCTTTAATATATAGTTTAGTTTTTATATAAAAGTAACTTGTTCTCCACATAAGTGTTAACTTTTTTTTTTAAACCGCAGCAATAGGAAATTTGCAATATTCCCCTCTCCTTCATTTTTTTTACAAGCTAAATGTAATAATTGTTTACGATATCCACACGCGTTTAGTCGTGACATTGTATTTAGCAATAAATCTTCGTAGTCCGTTATATTTTCAAATATAATTCAGTTTGCCAACAATATCTGAAACACACAGGACAGTTTGTAAATACCTTCTCAGTGTTCTGCGAACAGTCGCTAACTATATATTTAGTCTGTACATGTAAGTCTTTCTTATTCCTGCTGAAGTATCGTATTCCATACATATAAAAGTATTATTTATAATTTAATATTACACCTACAGTACCTGTTATTGTCAGTTAAACAAAATATATCGTCATGGAGGATGGGATAAAAAATATTAATTTCATAATGGAATATCATGAAGAGTGCAAGCCTAAAAATTATAATAATTTTTTCCATCCAAACGTTTGTCACGTTTGCAAAAAGACAAATAATGGCAATTTAATACCATGTAATAAATGCCACATGATCTTTTACTGTAACGACGAACATAAACAAGAGCACGAGTTGCAGCACTTGGAGATTTGCCCATCTTTAGCACAATATTTAAAAGAGAAGGAAGAATGGGGCACTCATCGTTTTTCCATATCAGAATGGATCCAGTCAAGACAAGAATTTCTTTGCACAGTAAAGTATTCGATGCCACGTAAACTAAAGTCATACGAAGAGCAGATGATCATTTTCGCAAAATCGTGCATCTACTGTCATCTGCAAATTGATTTGATCACTTGCCGAATATGCTATTCCGACAACTATTGTGTAGATCATGTGAAAGAGTTTAAAAGCCAACATCAGTCAAAATGCAAGACATTAATGTTATGTCTCAACCAAGATATCAGAAATCTCAATTTTAATTCATTTACAGAAAAATTCATTAGTTTTTCTTGGGCATCACCTATTCTCGACATGAAGACATTCATTCAACAATATGTGCGATCACCTGAACTAAGAAACATAGAGCAGTTTATAAGAGATGATTACCTTTATTCTGATTACGTTTCAGGACCGCTCACGCTCTATTATGGTATGAAGGATGCTGGTTTAATAAATCCTTCAATCATATCAAAAGCTACATACGTTGTTCATATAATAACAGAAAACAATCTTGATTTAGTATATGTAGAAGCATGGCATCTTATGCTGCATTGTATACGTTCTATAAAGAAGCTGATAATTATACTGGTAGGATCAGAATTATTGAACGCAAGTAAGGATGTCCAATTTTGCTCTAAGTGCTCACATCACAAACAAAAGCTTTATTTCGAATCTTATGGCATGTTATATATGGAATATATGAATAGCATACAGTATAAGGAAGCGGATGTGGTTATGGCAAGCCATGTAGATTTTAGTAATCAAGTAATATGGCCGGTAGACTTACTAAAATCACGGATTAGAAACTATCCATGGATTTTAACCACTAAATCAGAAAGAAAATCAAGAGAGAATATCTGTTTCATAGAGAAAATTTTAGGTAAAACTGTAAAAATTAAATATACTAATAAAAATAAATTTTGTTCTAATAGACCTTGGAGAGACCTTGAGAGTGGTTACGTGTACTATCGGAATAATTATATAACTATCTATCGAAATCTAACTGGTTCTTAAAACGATTTGAAATTTTAATATATTATTAAAAATATCATTTTGATAACTTTTTTTATAACATTATCTTAAATATGCAAGAAATATGCAAGAAAGATTGTTCTTATAAATCATGTATGCTTTTAATATTAAATTTGTCATGTATTAAATATAAATTGTTTTTATAAATTACAAATACTTTTGATATATTAAGATTGTTCTTACATATTATGAGTACTCTTAATAAAAAACATATTAAATTGCATTCATTTGTTTTTCATTCAAGACTATTGACAAAAATAAGGGAGTACACGCTCGAAGTATAAAATATAAAAATCTTCTAAAACAGCAGATATAATGTCAATATGAAACAAATTTAAAAATATAAGTTTGAAAAGAGATACGATACATTTACCAGTAAATATGGAAAATGAATCAATTATTAAGAATTAGAAGATTTTTCCATTTTATATTTTATGAGTTTTTGCATATATTAATTGCATTATAAAAATATTATAGAGGAGTTTAAAATTAATATTTTTTCACACTGGGTGCCCAAACTACTGTAAAATACTTTCATAACGCATTTTAAGACGTGACTGGTATAAAAAATCTTTCCCACGTTCTTTTTATAGCACAAGTTCAATGCAATAATTGTTTAAGAAATCCATATACGTTCATCGTGGTACTCTACTTGATAATAAATCTCTGTAGTTCGTTATATTTTCAAATACAGTTTGTTGACAACTCAGTTTGTCAACAATATCCGAGACTCTCAGGGAAAACCGTAATTACTTTCGCTGTGTCCTCCAAATAGAAAGAGAGAAAGAGAGAGAGATAAAGTCACAGGTTATACATTTATAACATAATATACATAGAGATCTTTCTTACTTTCTGTTAAGCTGCCGTATTCCACACACATATTACTTCTAAATTCATGTTGCATGTGAATTGTCCATTATTGTTAATTAAACAAAATATATCGATCTTCGACATCCACTTTTGTAAATAATTTTAATTGTATAATTTATCTAAAAGAAAAAAAATACGAGGCTGAATATTATAACTTAGACTTTATCAATGCAAAAGGCTTTGCTAGTAATGTATAAAAGAACATCCATGTGCAACAAAAAGTTAATAATATAAAACGTGCTCTGAAAAAATTGGTGTTTCAAAAATGAACTTTGCTAAAAATTAAATATTAAATCGATCAAATTAACTAAGTAGAAATTAACTAAATTATTATGTACTATTTCTCAATATTATAATGTAAATGTTAAAATTAAAACTAAGAAGTTAAAAGAAGAAACTAAAAATGTTAAAATAAAGCAAGAAATAATTGAAATAATTGTTCTTCTACATTTTATTACAACAATTTGTTGTTATTCTATCTATATCTGGTACAAGACATCTTCCTATAAAGAGTTTTACACACAAATATTTTCTTATTTCAATAATCAATTAATTTTTATAATTTAAGACACTTTATATTTTACTGGTTTTCTTAAAAAACATTAAAATTTTTAAATGAAGAATTGAAGAAAAGCTTAACAGAAACTTAAACTCGGATCGTATTATTGGATCAAATATATACAGGTTTTTAAAAGTACATTTGACTTTTGTTATAAATGTTTAGAATATACTTCAATTATAATATTTATACTTTATAAGTGAATGTGCGATTCCCAGTCAGTTTTTGAGTTTTTGATGTTAAGTTTTTCTTCGACTTCTTTTCACTCACATTTTAGGTAAGACAAACTAAGATGGCCCACTATCATTCTAACGTTTATGAAACAAAAGTCGTTATATTTTAAAAATTACTTTCAATATTATAGTAATTAAATCTTATGTGCAATATGTTCTGATCAAAAATTGGATTTAAAATTTAAAGTTTTATAATAGAGGTTTCTATTTTATATATATATTATATTTTTCACAAATAATATGTATTAAATATCCTATACTAAAATGAATATGTCAAATTATGATTTTTTCATTATTTTATAAATATATATTTATAATAGGTACAGAATCTTGAACATAAAATATGTATGAGTCATGTATTCCTTATGGTCATCTTGTTTTAAATATTTAGGTAAGATGGGCAATGGTCATGTTTTGATATTTTTGTAATAAATAATTTCACTGAAGTATTTTTCTTTTAACTCTGATGGTATTATGTACTGTAGGCTTCAGTGAAGTAATGTGCCAAATGCTATTAAAAAAATAACAATAAGAAATATATTCTTTTGCACTTTAAAAAAGTATGGCCATCTTATCCGAGTTTACCCTACATATCATCTTACAGGGTCCGGTGGTATATCGTGCGAGGAGAAGCAGATTATCTTGGACGAGCACAATCGATTGAGGCAACTAGTGGCGCTGGGACAAATACACGGCCAACCCAGCGCGGCGAACATGATGGAGATGGTAAGCCTCCCTCGTCGTTGTCTTTGTCGTCATCGTCACCAATCTTCATTTCACGAAGAATCGTCCCTTCCTATAAATTTCTGCAAAAAAATGCAGAAAAAAGGAAAGGAGGACCACAAGTTAACTATTCTATCAATCTTACTTCTAAATTTCTAACTTTCTTGAAATGAAATCTTACGCTAAAGGAGTGAAAATTCGCTCGGCCATGAAAATACCGCCACTCTGAAGCATTAGAGCCAAGATTTGATTCGAAACTTAAGAGAAAAATGAATTTTTTATCCATACGAGTGAATTTTAATCGGTTAGGATGGATTTGCTTTAGTAACGATAGAAAATATTAAATTAATTCTTTAATTCAAAGTGAAAATATTCATTCGACGACTCAAAGTGGAAAATTCATTCTATGTGAGAGAAAAATTATGTACATTTGAGTGACTTGGCTGTCCCTCTGTTTCTCCAGTAAAACTTCACTCCAAGAAATTTAGAGAGTACAATTGCTAAATTGATACTTATTTCGAAACACTACTTCTTATTTTCTGTAAAAAATGAAGAAAAATTCATTAGAAGCAATAATGAAAATATCACTATTCTGAATCGTCAGAGCTAAGACTTGAATCTTGACAGAAAAATGAATTCTTTATCCATACGAATGAATATTTCTCTTGGTTAAGATGAATTTGCTTCGGTAACGATGAAGAACATTAGATTCATCCTTTAATTTGAAGTAAAAACATTCATTTGACGACTCAAAGTGGAAAATTCATTCTATATGAAAGAAAACTTACTCAAATTCGAGTGACTTAACTGTCACTCTTCTTCCTCAGTGAAACTTCATTTTAAGAAATTTTTAGAGCACAATTCAAAATCAATAGCGATTTTAAACTGCCATTTTCTACAAATCCCTGCTAAAGATAAAAAAGAAGAAAGAAGAGAAAAACGAATACCACGAGTTGCAATTTCGAAATTGATTCCTCTCGACAAAATTCGCACAGACAGATCCGCCGGAAAAGAATCGATTTCTCATCTGTCGACGGTCTTCGTAGCCGTAGAGAGAAGACGATTTCAGATTTACCGCGGTCGCCGATAATACACCGTTTAAGCCATGATAGACTACCTCGGTTTTCCGCGGCGCGTTGGGAATTGTTCGTGTTACGTTTGATATTTATATTCATTTGTTAAAAGAGCACTCTCTGGCTCGTTCGCGCGCGCGTGTGCGCACACGCGGAGAGCGCTAATTTGCATGCTGCCGCAGGTTGCGCAAAGTTAAAGTCGGTTTTACTGCTCGGTAATATTTCGCGGATATATTGCGCGCGAACGCCCGCCCGTGATTAACTCAGTGTGTAAGTTACTAATTGCTGTTACAGATATGGGACGATGAACTCGCCGCTATAGCGCAAAGATGGGCGGATCGTTGCGCCGAATCACATGACAGTCTAAGAAACGTCCGTAAGTGAGACTTTATCTGGAGCGATTAGTTTCGCTAATTTTCCAAACACTACACTGAAAAAAACTGTCTTGTAACTCCTAACAAATGTATTTGCTTGAACATTTCAGTATATTGTTTGGTGATCAAATATGGTTTAATAGTTACTAACTTTCTGATAATAGTTATATAATGATTAGTGAAACGAATTTTTCATTTAGTTGAACTGATTAAATGGTTTGGCAAATATAATACCAAATAATTTGGAAATAATAAGTAAATAATAAGTAAATAGTTTGACTATTACCAAAGTATTTGATTACTTCGTATTTTTATCGCATAATGTGGTAAGTATTGCTAAACAATATTTTATTTGGTAAATTTGGTTTGATGCTTTACATACCGCATAAATTGATAATAGTTACCAAGTCTTAGGAACAGATACTAAGTCTTGGCAACAGATTCCACAAGTCTTGTAAATATTTACCAAATTATTTGATTATATTCATCTACACACATTTAGTTGAAATTACTTCACCAAAGCATCTGGTAACTATTACACAGACTTGATGATTATTACCAAACCTTTCCTTCGGTGTATGTTGTTCGGTTGATGAAAAGATTTGCATCATCATTTTTTTATTCATTTCTCGTAGAAAGTTTAAGTATTAAAAGTAAAATCGGAGATCCATGTTAAACGTCCAAAAAATATTAAGTCAGTATTATTCATTTTATTTGTAAAAATAATTAATCCTTCGATATTGCATATTGCAATTTCGTTTTTTATTTTAATTAACAAGCATGATAAATCTTTGCACCAATCTAATATCTTCGATATGCCAAAAAGAAAAAGAAGTAGATATATGTTATCCCGAAATAAAGCTCTGTACGAAACGCAGAAAGTGGAGCAATTTCTTTTAAAAGTTCATAATCCGAATGTCGGAACAATTTCTTGTAACTTTCTTGAAGTATCGAAAGCACGCAATTGTCTTGAAAAGTTATAATGCCTGTACGATGAAACAGTGTGTATCTAAAAATATAGCTATCCCGAAATAAAAACAAAATAAAATAAAATTTTTGGCTTATTTTGTCATTGTTGTTTTAAGGAGGTTATATTTTTTTATATTTTGTCTCTTTATACTAATATTGTAATGTTTCAAGACAATTGCGTGTTTCCAATATTTAAAAAAAGTTATATTTCGAGAGATTACCCGAATTTCAGGATTATTCGACTTTTTGGGAAATGATTTCAATTTTTGAAATTCGAGATTTTGATTTTTCGGGCGACAATCTCCAAATTCAGATATCTCTTCCAAAAAAAAAAAAAAAAAAAAAAAGGGGGAAAAAAAAAAAAAAAAAAAAAAAAAAAAAAAAA